AGTTTTCTTCCTGTCACCCACAGCCGTCCTGCCACGGGCTGCCAGGCGCTGTCCGGCCAGAGGTCAAAATTCTAAATTTGGGGCAGAAAATTACATCCTTTTCGTACAATCTCAGGCTCTCACTTTTGAACTCTTCATACTTGGGATCCCCATTCAGGGAAAGCTTGTTTTCTTTTTATTTGACTTCGGTCTGATTCCGAGCTTTGTTAAGGACGCCTATTGCCACGCATTGTTACGCCCCCCCCCCCCCCCCCGTAGCCTGTTTCGCTTTGCTACATGACCACACACTATACACGAGAGGTTTCATATTTTCGACACGCTAGTGGGACAGCCCTGACCACAGGCTTACTGTGAGGATGTCCGCCCGCAGCACGCGTGTATACAGCGTGCCTCTGACGATTTCTCCGCCCCACTGATCAGGGTGCTGCTTCGGTGGCCGAGAGCGAGGCCGTGTCCTTGGTGCGTCACCGCACCGCGGCCCAGTTAAAGGCAGACAATGCTCGCGGACCCACCGCCGCGGGCGATGGTCAGCGCAGAGTCAATTCCGCGCCAGGGCGACCACTGCCCGGTTGCTGTCATCACCTGAGGAGAGCCAGTCCAGGAACAACTTACCAAAGTCAGTCTTGGACTAAAGACCTCTCACCTATAGTGGCACTCGCACCAGCGAACCGCACCGCGGATCTGGCCGTCGGGGACGTTTTGGCCTCCGTGTCACCTTTTGCAGAGCCCATTTTGACGCTATGCCACAGGCTGTTACGTAGCTGGACGTGTTGAGCGTCGTTGCCGTTTCGCTACGGCCGCAATGCATTGTCGACTTCCGTGGCCGCTGGAGCGTGCAGGAGAACTGCACGCTCTCGTGCCGATGCTAGCCAAAGAGCTAGCGCGCATGGCGGCGAGGCTGACATGTCTGTGCACTGCACCGTGGCCTCATCCGGTTTGAATGGTGAACGCAGTTGACGTGGGACACCGACACGCCATCGCGGCTGCCTCGGCCGGTGTGAGCGTGTTTTTGTGATTGTATGCGCGCACGTCTTTATAAATGTTTATGTTATAATGTCGTTAATGGCATGTGACCTCGTTCTGCACGCAGCGCATATAACACGTGCCCCACTTTTTTGTAAGTCATGAGTGAGTGGAGGATCTGCCCAACGGTCTTGTTTGTTCTTACACTTTCAAAATATTTTGAAATGTTTTTATTTATTAACTTTGTGCGTGTGTGACGTAGCAGTTGTGGCTACTCGAACGCTTCGTCCGATGCCTGCACACTGCACACAGCGTATGACTGAACACTGAACGCCTACCCCACGTTGACAATCCCGGCAGTTACTGAGCGCCTACCCCACATTGACAATCCGCCGGCAGTTATTGAGCGCATACCCCACGTTGACAATCTCCGTCGGCTATTAAGCGTGTACCCCACGTTGACAGTCCCGGCAGTTATTGAGCGCCTTCCCCACGTTGACAATCCCGGCAGTTATTGAGCGCCTACCCCACGTTGACAATCCGCGGCAGTTATTGAGCGCCTTCCCCACGTTGACAATCCCCGTCGGCTATTAAGCGTGTACCCCACGTTGACAGTCCCGGCATTTATAAAGCGCCTACCCCACGTTGACAATGCCATGCAGTTATTTCATTTGTGTGTGTACCTTGAACGCTAAGTACGATGCCTGCAGCTGCTGTGCACAACAGTCTGGACCTTCATGTAAAAATTTGTTGACTCAAAAGGTTTTGGTGAATTACCAGGTTATACCGTAATTTTTATGCATAGCAAAATGGGCATGACAACGCTAACACTCATCTGAAAAACCTTCGCGAACCGCTTTGATGGCATCAGTTGCATGACCACTTCCATTTTGCGGAAGACACTTTTTCCTAGGCCTGATGACAATCGCACAGTTTTCACTCCCAGCGAAGACACATTCTACGTAATTTAGTCACGCTATTGACGAACCTGTCGGCACTTCCAGTAAGCTATTCTCAACAGGCACTGTTCGAGCGGCAGAAGCAGCCAGGCATTCCCGTGATGTCCGTCAGAAGTATCACGCTCAAGGACAATTTCACCGTAATGGCATGCAGCACGAACGGATCCTGGGTCCGAGCTGCACGCGGAGCGTGCACATGTGAGGCGCGCATAATACGGCCACAGTGCGCCCAACAGTCTGGTGATGGCCGGGTCTCTGGTGGTGCCCGGGAATGACACGCAATAATAACGCTGTCTATCGATTACATGCCAGCACATTTTTGCCCCGCGAGTTTTGGCAGTCCAACCACTGACCTGATCACCCTCGACCCTCGACCATGTTCAGTGCCAGAGCCCCAAGCGTCCCCTTTCGGCCGTCCACTGTGTCCTCCCGTCCGCCGCTATCTCTCTCGGCCTCCATTGTCACCTTGCACCGTCCAGCGCGTCCAACGCTCCGTCTCGGCGTCGATTGCCTGCCTCTCGTGTCGAGTGGGGCGGCCCGGCGTCCGGCCTGGGCCTCCCATGCACGACGGCCGCGCACGCCAGCCGCCTCTCGCCCCAGGTGTTGGGCTTTCCGGCCGGCCTTCCCCGGCAAACAGCCCCGGTTCCGAGCAGCACCGCCAGGTGGCAGGTCGAGCATCGTTCCATCGTCGCCCGGGCCTGGAGATTAACGCGCTAAGCGCGACAGTCACCCCGCAAACCGCCACGGGGGTCGGATGTGCGCCGGGCTCGCGTTCGGTGGCGTGCCGGTCTCCAGCGCGGCTCTCCCTAACCCAGAGATGCTGCGCCGGGCGAGTCGGGACGAGCGGGTCGCGCGCAGGGGCCGCTGCCGCACACGAGGACCGGGAGATTACACAAAACCGGTTTGAGGAGTTCATCCGCGCCCAGTGTCGGATCCGGCCGCAGCGGGCAGGCTCATAGAAGACGATGAGGCCTGAACGCTAGAATCGGTTGGCCTCCTTGAACGATCCGGCTGTCCAAAGCCTACCTAAGCACGCTGTGTGCGGGGGCAAATGAGAAAAACGCCAGCAAATTATGGGATAGATGTCTGTAGCTTTTAAGCCCATTGTGGAGCACTACCAGGGAAAACTACCGACTTGCATGTTGCTCGCGATGAGGCACCAGCATGATGGATGCAATAATTGATCGGACTGCCGTCATCGTCTTGTGTGCTGCAGATGTGCATTAGATGCACGTACTGTCTCACCAGACGAGGACGAGGCAGCCGTCTGTGAAGCCATTAAGGGGTCAAGGCGATGCCGGCATATGAGTACCCGCTTAGCCCTGAATATCTGCACCTTGCAAACTTGGAATGCGAGGAGCACAGGATCGTCACGCTCCCCGGGCGGGGGAAGGGGGAGGGAGGGCCATTTAATGCATGATTGCATTGCAGGCTGGTTTCCCAGGTGCCCTGCACACAGAAGCGAGCCTGTTGCTATGGCGTATGACGTTGAAGCGTCTCCTCTCATCGGCGCGCCTGCAGACACTCAACACTATTGACGTCATACTGCAACGACCTATATCGCTCATAGGTTTCTCCGTCCGTCCGAGTATCACATAGACGCGAAGCACATTTTTGCACTAGAATAAGCCATAACCTCGGTCATTGAAGTGCAGAAAAAGTGAGGTGAAGGGCTGCACCACTCCTTCACCCTGACCTAGAAATGAAGCTTCCTGTTTTTGCACCTGTGTTAATTCGTTGGTGACATTCGCTTCCAGCTGGGAGCACAGGGCACGCACTTGCAAGCTATTCGAGCACATTTGATACGAGTTTGTTTCTGCATTCCCGGTTGCATTAACCCTATCTCCAGCTATGGGACGGCAATGTGGCTTGTCTGTCCAGGTGGGCATCAATCGGTACGGCTGTGAGGTAATGACGTGCCGCGGCCCAGCGGTGCTGGCGTCTCGTCCGAGCGGTGCTGTTTGTTCGTACCGAAACCCCACGCCGGCAGTCGCCTGTGCCAGACATGACCCGTCTTCTCAATGGTCTGCGTGCGTTTGTTTCAGTGCTCGTTTGGGTACGCTGCTTATTTCAGCGCGAATGCAGTTCAGTTTCTGTGTCGCGACTGTCGATGTTGTTAAACACCGCACCACTGACCGTCACTGTCGGCTCGACTCTGCGCGGTGACATTCCAACCTGTTATCCGCTCCTCCCGGCCGTGTACGAGCGCCGCGCATCCAATAAGCTGCCCTCTGTGAGGCTCACACAGGCGCTGGCCGAACAGAAGGCGATCATCTACCGGCCATACCAACCCAGACGGGGCCTGTCCAAAGCCCCAAAACGTCGCGCTGTTGCCACGCACACACACACGTACAACTCGCGCCGGGGAGCGCACCCGTCCTGACACGCTGTTTGTGTCGATACCGTTAAATGCCGACGTTTCTTGTCGATTTTATGATTATTTGACGTTTTATAACAAGACAGGCACGTTTCTAACAACGGTCATGCAATAGAGCACTGATTGTGCGGGTCATAGGAAGGTCCCAAAATTTGGAAAGGTGAAATGCGAACTGAGGTAATTTTTTCCAAACGCCAAATGACGCCAGTGCAAAATATTTGTGGAACTTGGGAACATGGGCCTTTGCCCCCGACTCGCACGTCCACTGCAATGTCTTGAAGGTAGTCTACCTTCGAAGTGTGGGAAAGTTTTGTTATGGAAATCGAACTCGCTCAAAAATTGAAAACTCAAGCCGCTTCTTCTTGCTGTTCCGTACTGGTGTATGCTGCCGCACTGCATGCGCCGATGGGAAAACTGTTACGTAACTACCTAATCTTATTTACACTGAATCGCGCGCAGCAGTCATTCATTTGGAAGTAAATGAAGGTTCAGTGCCACATTAGTTGCGTGGTTCATAACAAGCCTATCTTGATATTCACTCGCCTATTTTGTCCGTCACGTTACAAATAATTGTTCGCATCAGTAGAGGACTGCCAGATCTAGTCTCTGGTGTTGATTGATGCCGTACACCCTCACTTCCATTTAATGAGTTCCACCGGGTTTAGTACAATCACTAATGCGTTGACACCTTTCTGTTGCAGACTTCAACTTTGGATTCCCGCAGAGGCCAGGTAGAAATCGGTTTGGCACACCACATGGATTTCAGCGTCCAGTATTTGGTGGTTTTGGTAACTATCCACACCTCTTCGGCTGTCTGCATCTGGCATTGTCACCCGGAAGTTGGCTGCTTTGCACGGCTTGGAGCACGGCTGCGTGACACATAGTTGGAGAGTCGCCTCAACGCCGTATGCAGGTTCCCCGCTGCTCACATTGATATCTTTCATAACAAGCGCCAGCTTCATGGATACTCATTCGTCGTCCAACAATATGTAGTGTTGACTGCACGCAAGTCCCGACAGCGCTGCTGTAGACATGCCTTCGCCATGTGTCCGTAACCACCAGCTCTACTGCATGCGCAGCACTCCTCGGCGGGGTGCGGAAATAAACGCCGCTTGCACAATGGATCAATGCGCTGAAAAGTTTTCAAAAATATTTTGAAATGCTGCTTGAAGTTTTAGTATGTACTAAACACTCTGACAGGGAATATGTTGTTTTTATGCGATTCAAATTAACATACAATGGGTAAACACATGTATCCAACTGGAGGTCAGTTTGCTATATGAAACGAGACCTTTGTAGAAATTTCTTTAGGCATGTCTTTAGTTCACCTAAACTCTAGAAAAATGCTGAGCCCGGCAATCAGCAAAGTGTATCAATCAACGGCGTTGGATGCCGGCTGCCCAATTATTGTTCGTCAACTGTGTGGAGCAAGGCGGGAATTGAGGGTCATTTCATTCAAGGCTCATTCATCTTCGAACATGTCAAGGTATGAAAACCCTTCAAGACCTGTTAGTACCGTAAGTAAGCTCCGTAAGCACTGCATGCCTTTGAACAGGGATGCTACAAAGATATAGGATTTTTTTCGTGTGGGGGAGGAGCTTCTACGTAGGATATGCCACCAAATGGTTTTAAGCAGTTCTGAAAAAAGTTTTGGTAGGAAGAGATCTGGCATCATACCTGTCTATGAAAGCAGGATCTTGCTTATAGCCGACTAAATGCAATGCTATTAAATTATGCGCCTTTATCAACGTGCCTTTACATCTTTGCATAACATTCTAACTATAAATCGCTGATAAAAAACATGTCGCTAGAAACAGTTTTTGAACCTTTAAAGCTTTGCACCGTCATCCTTCGTGAAAACGGCTCACGCATCACACTTTCGCACGCTATCCCCACGTTTAGGGCCGTGAATACTTCGAGCAACAAAGGTTTCCAACTATAAGTTCTTTTTTGTGTAGCGTATTATGTGATCGAGATACGCACAAAGCACCAAAAGGTAGTTCCGATTGCGCATGGCTCAAAGGTTCCATTTGACGGCGGCGAAAGAACAGATATTATCCTCGCGGGATGAGAGCAGGAAAGACATGTTACACCCTTCGTAGTAGTTAAGAGGCCTTTTTCACAGATCATGGATTGTGAATATTTTTACGAGGTCTTGTCGGCCTGATCTCGCGCTCAAGCGTCCAGTTAGGTGCGTTTGTCATATAATTTGGATTATAAAGCGCTAAACTAGATGAGAGCTACTTCAATCCCGGTTTTATCCATGACCTCATAAATTATGAGCAAGTATGTTATAAATTACTAACAAGGTATACTCGTGCGCTTTCCTCACGGATGTTTGAGATTCAGCGTCCGCCCAAAACAATACCCGCCATTTTGTTGTTATTATTTTTTGCAGTTCGTTTGTAAGTAATATACGCCACGGTTACAAATAATGGCTTCTGAACACCAATTGGAGAACATTGTTTCCCCCACAAAGAACATGGAGCTTTACATTTTAATGAGATACAACAGAAAAAGTTTACTGGGTTTTGTTGCCGAACTATTGTAAAATTTGTACGTTTTGTCGATGGAATGCCGCTATTGTTTTACTGAATGACTCAGAAAATATAGTCGCTGCCAACAAAAGCGCTGAGCAAAAAATGCGTCGAGTTAAAGCTTGAAAACATTGTATAAAACGTCACGAAAATAGAATTTAACTATATGTTTAGGGTAGTGCAGGTCTTAATGCAGGAAACGGATTGGTGTGCAAAACCCGCTCTCCAATGGCTAGCAATTGCTACATTTTTCCAAAGAGTCCTCAGAATTCCTGACTCTGAAAAAAAACATCGGGAAAGTGTTGAAGGGAAGACCGGTAAAGGTTTGCCAGATTCCTGATCAAAACGCCCACCAATGCAGGATCCAAAACGTTTATGGTACGACATGTCCCAATTTGCCTTAGGGGGGACATTTAAGGAAACAGAAAAATACATTTAGGTAAGATAGAAGCAGGTAAGCGATGAAGAAAACACACCCGGTCAACCTCAGAACACTAGCTGATAATAAGATCGGTGGTGCGCTGTCAAAAAATTTCCCCAAATATTTCAGGACAGGTTCTGAAGTTGGAGCGATGATCTATGTGTGCCGTCGACTTTATCTGCTTCAGATCTAGCACTGCCACTTTTAGTCCGCATGCGTAATGTGAGTGCTTAAATCTCACTACAGGTCGCAGACAGTTTATTTCTTTTCCGGTTTTCCTTAGACTCAAGGAGCATAATCTATCGATAAAACGCCCTCATGTCCCGAACATTGTCACTCACCGCTAGGTATCGCTGGACGGGAATAGTGGTCTGGGGTAAATTAACTAATAATATGGCTCATGGTTAGCCGCCGCTGAGTGCTTTTTCATCGAAGAATTTGCGAAAACAGTCGCGAAGTTCGGCAGTTTGGTCAATATCTTGAGAAGTTAAATGCAATATAAAATGGTAAATTGCACAACGTGACTTTGCCCCCGCTCCGGAGTTAAAAATGACGTTTTAAAATGCTGTTTAACGTCGACAGGCCTACTCGACGGCTCTGTTTTCTATTTCATCAAGTTCCATTCGGGCTTGACGTTGCAGGGGGCCGAGTCTGCTCTTCCGTTAGTGTGAAGCTGCACTGAGCCCGTCCGGTGCTAGCGTTGAGGCGCTGTTCATACCGTCCGGAACACATATACAATGTCTGCAAGATTGCCTTGATTATGTTGCGTTCATGACCCTTACCTCGCAATGTCGAGTGGGATATCTTCCAATGGAATCGACGCGATCCGTGAACAAGAAAACTGTTGGCTGTTGGTGTTGAGTGTGTCGAAGTAATGGTGTCGAGGAAAGGTAACCTCATAACATCTCGTCGAAGTTTTCACGTGAACACATGATGCAATATGAACAACTGCTTGAAGGAAGTGCTCCCCATTTACATGATATTTTGAACTCAGATAGTCATCTTGAATATCATTCGACGCAGTTCATAGCCCCGTCCTCTTGAGGACCTAAATCCCTCTGGTTTCTCATCTATCCGTCCACGAAGGTGTGCAGACTATTTCGGGGAGACTATTTTAAAGTCACCCAGGCATCCATGATACCACGGTAACGTTACTCAAATTCTGTCAATCATGTCAGTCACTGTCTTTCAATCTCTCAATTGGTGGCTCAAGTCTCTCAATCATTGTGCAAGGTACGGGACGCAATCAAACAGTGACGTATCAAAGAGCATATTTAACAATAAGATATATTGTGTTGAGTAGCGCAACCTTCTCCGTAAAGCATACCAATAGTTAGAGGTGAGCTTATTTCATCATATCTGATGCTTGCTTCAATATCTCCAAATGCTGCACATTCTCTTAAATGCTATACGCGTACTCCTGCTTCAAACCATATCGTGCACAAATCACGAAACAGGCAACATAATGCGTATTCATCGTTGCATCCAAATGCGGGATTACCGGTGCGTCCAACATCTACGACAACTTAACACGCGCTCGGGTGGGGGGGGGGATCAAATTAACCCCCAAAGGTTTTCCAAAATGGTCTCCGAACGGCGCGGCGCAGCCCCGCCAAATTTTACATTCTGTAGACAGTTAAACAGCGGATCGTTTGACATAAACAAATTGAGATATAACTTGCAAGGTCGCTGACCTATGGCAGGTCAAAGTCAGGCCATGGTTTCAGCGAAAGCAATTTCTAGGGAATCCTTCAATCTGATCCAACAACGGAGTGTTAGACGAAGCCATACATCTCTGAGATGCTTTCTTAGGCAACACAACAGTTGAATGAGCATATTACATTGATCTAAGGTGAGGCACGAAGGTCATGCCAAGGTCAAAACCAACCTGTTTTGCTACTCTAGGGCTTTGTTACTGCTGTATGGGATAGTTCCTGGTGCTTATTTCGAATTAATTGATAGCAGGAACCGCATTATGCATCATGCATGGACTTCTTGGGGTTAGAATAGGTCGTTCACCTAAAATGACCCGGGTCAACATTTTGTTTTAGGAACATACTGCCTAGCGTAATCATTACCGCTTAGTCAAATGCAAAACTCAAAGCAATCTTGTATTATATTGGTCACCATGACCTTCAAAAGGTCAACAAGGTCACTGACTTTAAATGAGCACGTGATCGTTTGATTAGAAACGGTTACCTGGGTTCTGGGGCAATTTGAAGACCAACCTGGAACTTGACCTTGTTTGACCTTTTTTGACCCAAAGGTCATGACCTAGGGATCTTAAACTTTGACTCAAATAAGCTCACGTGCAGTTCAATACACCCTGTAAATTTGGTGTCTCTAGCTTCGTGAGTTCTTGAGATCTTAGGGGGGTTCAAAATGACCCCCACCCGAGCGAAGGGCGTCCAGCCGGCCATCCGGGCGCGTGTTAAGTCGGCACAGGTTTTTAGCCGTCAGCAAGCAAGTAGCATATTCACTGAGCACAACTCCTGTGGAGCTAAAATGCTCGGGATTATCTGAGCGCTGTGCGAAGCTCTGCTCCGTTCTCTCGCTATGGCCCTGAGCACGCTTGAACCACGCAATGGTGTCTCCACTGTTGTCGACGCGCACCGCTACCCCCCTTATCCGAGTGTTCCAATCCCCAGCTCCGAACCGCCAGGACCAGTTCTTCCAGCAGCAGCAGCAGCAGCAGCAACAACAGCAGCAGCAACAGCAGCAGCAACAGCAGCAGCCGCAGGGCAACAACCCGTTCGGCCAGCTACTAAACCAGTTCGGTCAGGTCCTGGGCGGCAGCGTAACTCCGAATGGTGGCGGCGGCTTCGTAATTGATGGTTCCAAGGTGCAGCAGCAGGCCGGCCAGCTGCTTGGCAGCGTGTTTGGCATTCGACCTGGCCAGGGTCAGAACAACCAGGGCGGTCAGAACAACCAGGGCGAGCAGATCGATCAAGGTGAGGCTATAGCTCTTATGCGACGACGGGTGGTCGAGATCCCCCGATAAGTGGAATCGACGATACGCATTCCCACGTGCCAAACTTGGCAAACGCTGTTCATGGCTTCAGGCCTCAGAAACCGGGTAGTTGGAAAAGCCTTCCACGTAAACCTAGATCCTGAAAAATCCGCACAGGAACAATTTTGTAGCTATGTGCATCCTAGCTAAAGGGGATGAAACCAGACCATCCACCGTGTGATACTCACCGTGCACATTATGCACTATATGTTTGTTGTGTCATAATCACACCGCGAGTGTGTACTGCATTGTTACTAATGCTTCTGTGTGCCATCATGAACGCTTGCAGCCCGCGCCCGCGCCGCAGCAGCATCGCCAAGCCTCCATGTGATCTTGCCCAGCTCTGTGTCCGGACTGTCATTTGAGCTCTCGCAGTGGTCCAGCAGCACATGCTACTGCTCAGCCGCCCGCCATGACCCGCACCCTCTTCCTGTACGGCGTGCGCGGCCCGTGACCTGGGTGGGTCGGCCGCAGGCGGCGGCGGCGGCGGCGAGTTCGTCGACGAGCTCGACCCGGAGGACCTCGAGCAGGGTAACCGGCGCCGAGAGCTCTGCACCACCGACGACGGTCTGCGTGGCGTCTGCAAGAAGGAGCGACGCTGCCCCGATGACCGACTGGCACTGAGCTCTTCCGTCACGTACTGCCCGGGCGGCGGCGGCGGCGGCGGCCGGGGCCGGGGCCGGGGTCGCGGCCGGGGCCGCGGCCGGCGCAGGAAGGTCTGCTGCCCCAGGCGGCGACAAGGTATCGTCGGCCCGGCATTAAGCCTTGTGGCGGCCTTGGAGGAGGGGGTGAAGTTCTGGGAAAAAAGAAACATAAGCGTGCTGTGTTTTTTGGGAGGAGGGAGTGGGGGGAGGAGGGGGGGGGGGGGCAGGCCCAGACAGGCACGAGGACAATGCAAGCTTGCGGTCACATGGGCCCATCTTCCACCGATGGCTATTACCTTTTTATTTGTACGACATTCTTGGTTTTTACACTGCCTGCTTATTGACTATGCGTGAAGTTTAGGTATATATATATATATATATATATATATATATATATATATATATATATATATATATGTGTGTGTGTGTGTGTGTGTGTGTGTGTGTGTGTGTGTGTGTGTGTGTGTGTGTGTGTGTGTGTGTGTGTGTGTGTGTGTGTGTGTGTGTGTGTGTGTGTGTGTGTGTGTGTGTGTGTGTGTGTGTGTGTGTGTGTGTGTGTGTGTGTGTGTGTGTGTGTGTGTGTGTGTGTGTGTGTGTGTGTGTGTGTGTGTGTGTGTGTGTGTGTGTGTGTGTGTGTGTGTGTGTGTGTGTGTGTGTGTGTGTGTGTGTGTGTGTGTGTGTGTGTGTGTGTGTGTGTGTGTGTGTGTGTGTGTGTGTGTGTGTGTGTGTGTGTGTGTGTGTGTGTGTGTGTGTGTGTGTGTGTGTGTGTGTGTGTGTGTGTGTGTGTGTGTGTGTGTGTGTGTGTGTGTGTGTGTGTGTGTGTGTGTGTGTGTGTGTGTGTGTGTGTGTGTGTGTGTGTGTGTGTGTGTGTGTGTGTGTGTGTTTCGTCTGTGCGTGTTTTTTAATGTATATCTTAATCTCTTGTGCATGTTCCTTCTTCATATGACTCGTCTCCAACAACAGTCTTGCTGACTTCGGTCATTCGGCAGAGGTGATGATGTAAAATTTGTAATTTGTAAATTGCTGTAATTTACTTCTGGTTGTATTAATTGCTGTCAATTTGTTAATTTAATGTCATGATGTAAAATTTATGAATGTATACATATATGATCATCAGTGGTGGGCGGCAGGACCCTTACCAAAAGTTTATAACTGTGTGGTTCCCTCATAATTCACTTCTGCCCTTGTTTCGATAAAGGCATGTTGCCGAAATATGAACCCATCTACCTCTCCCTTCTCCTGTTTCTTCTCCGAAGAATAAGGCTATTACTACCGTCTTATCCTGAGCCCAGGCTACTCGGCGCGGAATTAAAAGGTTAACATATCAGCCATCCAGAAGTGGACAGTTTCCAAGATCACACATTCTATTAGGTTTGCCGTGCCGCTCACCTTAAACGTGTAGTGCACGTTGGGCGCCGTCCATAAGAAGGCTTGATGTAAGGTAAAGAGTCATAAATTTTGCGCCCCATTGGACAAATAATTTTGTATTAACAAATCAGATGTTACGGGAATCGCCCAGGGAACCTGGTGATGTACATTGTTTCCGTTCCCACACTGAGCTAAGTGCAAGTGTAAGTGTAAGTGTAAGTGCTGGAATCTACGTCAATATATAACAACATTTTCATGGATACCCATTCGGGAAAAAGCGAACTGACATGATTTCAGGCGGTAATGGCGGAGGCGCCAACCTTGGAAGCGGAAACAACTCTGGCGGAGGTTTCAATCCGGGCAGTGGAGGCGGCACAACCTCGGGCGGCGGAGGTTTCAATCCGGGCAGTGGAGGTAACCAAGTGTGCTGCATCCCAGTAGTCGGTGGCGGCGGTGGAGGTGGCTTCCCGCCAGCCACTACCAAACCCACAACTACAACTACAACTACAACGACGACGACTACCACTACCACCCAGAAGCCAACAGTTCCCTCCACGCCTGAGCGTCTGACAGGTAACCTATGGCTCTACACCGCAGTTTGATATCCAGGCTCAGACCAGGTCTGCGTCTTTTGTGCCGCTGCTCTCTTTTGTTCCAAATGCGGACTGATTGTGCGGAGCAAATTGGCGGTAAAATGATTCATCGTACATAGCACAGGGATAATGGATCTTTTTCCTTGCAGTGAACTATATGACATTCGAAAACATGCGTGTAATGAAAGATGTGATGTGCTATAAGGCAAGGTGCAAAAATAGTATGTCTTGGTAATGCCGGAAAGATCAATGCAGATACCGATGCACATAGACATTATTTAGCTTTAATCGAACGCCTACAACTATGGCCAGAATATCTAGTTCACTGTTCAGAACACTAAGGGTGGGGACCCCCGATCGATTTAGGATGCCTTTCCGTTTGGGATGATTGCCAACTGCTCCTTTCAGTCAACATGCAAACTCAATTGGTGAGTTGTTCATACTGCTGCTTGTCGGCATCTAATTTCCCTTTGTGTTCTCTAACCTGTGGTTGCTAATGATTAAACCATTCCTTAGTTTGTCTGGGACGCTGTCTATAGCTTATGACGGGTGATGGTAGCCATGCTCTCGCAGGCTTGTAATGGCTAAACATCAGACATTTTGTCTAGTCATTCCCGTACATAAGCTGCTAGCTGTGCCCTCTCACAGTTTCAACGGCGCACTCGACTAAACGTTGGCACCAAAGAACGTGAGGAACGAGTCACGGCACTCCCTGCAAAGAGTTGAAATTTTATGTCTTAACGGTGAAAAAGTACACCTACCAGCAATGTGACATGTGACGAGCAAAAAGACGTAAGATGTTTAACGGGATCAGTGTGAGGCACGTGCACATACCATAAAATAATATTGAAATCAGTCATAGCTGAAGTCAGCAATTACTGCTCATTTAACCATCCAAGGTCCGCTGCATTTGTCACGTTAATCCGTACTTCGCACCGTTCACACAAACGGGCCAAAGGGAGCTGACCTCAGCTGGTCATGTTCTTATTTGCTTTTGTCTTGTCTCCAATGACCTTACCCAACTAAGCGGAGCTTATTGCCGGGTGGACTGAAAGAGTCAGCGCAATTTTGGGGTGACTCCTTAGGTTTGAAATCCAACGTTTAAAACTTTGGGCTTAAGGTGACCGCATGGGTGACTCCTAGCGTTTGAATTAGAACACATTAAGCTGTAAACATGGCGGGTTGCAACAGCTTTAATGTTTGAAGTGACCGCTTGAAGGTTATTCCTAGAAAAGTTCAGGTTAGGCGCTTTTGCACCTTGAAAATGCAGCAAGGTTTCATTGATAGCTTATGCTCCGTACCAGGCGGCTATTACTCAAAGAAAGCACATAGCATGGAGAAAAAGGCTACTTTTCAACTACTGCCTGGTTTTGCCTAGGAGGCAAGTTAGTTGACTATGATACTTAAAACTTTAGCGCATAGTCGACGAACATCCACAGAAATTTTACCGTTGACGAGTATTTGATGGGCATATTGCCTTGGATAAGACAGAAAGCGCAGCATTTATTGATTTTGCGAACACTATGCCACTGGTTTTCGCAGCATTCAGTGCTGATTTATAGATTTCAAACCATGTTTTTATCGATTTCCAACACAATAGTAATCTAAATAATCTATTAATCTAATTATTAATCTAATTAGTAAAATGAATAAAGTAAAAAACAAAGTTGAATTAAAAATCAAATAGTAATAATCAGATAATCATTCTTGTTTTTACGTTGGCATAGTTAGTCACTGAAAAAGACCAGAGCTTAAATCTTGTGACATACTATCTAGGTCATTTACTTACATGATGAATAGCAATATGCCGATTAGAGGCCCCTGATGGATGCACCAATTAATACTTATTATTAGATAACGTTTTACTAATTTTTGCTTTCTGAGTCCTTTTTGCAAACAATCTCTTATTAGCTCTACACATTTGCCCCTTTTCCCCATGTTTCCCCCTAGCTGTGCGAAGAGTGTGCGATGACTTATGCTATCATAAGCTTTTTTGGTGGATAAATGTGCAAATATCTGCAATCGGCGTGCCCGAAAATCCCAATAAGCAGTTGCGCAATATTTGTTTGAAAAGCCTCTTTTATGTCTATTATGACCTCGAAACCGGATGAACATCACATTGCTGGCAGATGTACAATTATTTACTGTTTATGCACGGCCAGTCACCTTTCTTCACTTGGCTGATTGGATATAGCCAGAAATATCGTCCTCGTTAGAGCAGGGGTAGGGGGCGAATCGCCAACATTTTGTAAAGAAACTTGTCAGAAAATTTAAAAGTTTTTCTTTTTTTTCTTTCCAAACATCGGTAAAACTGGTGCCCCCAATGACATCCATGATGCAAATGCAAATACAAGTACAAATAGTGACGAAGCCAATGCACCCAGTAGGCAGCGTAAATGGCGAGTCTCCTTGGCACAGACCAGCATGCTATCGAGCTTTAGTAATGCATGTTACCCTGCAACTTTAACCGATGCATGCTGGTCTGTGGTGCTAGTACTGCACGTTACTCCGCGACTGTAACGATGTATGTATGCTAGTCTGTTGAACAGATACTATGTCTGGCCACGACTGTGACAGCTTTGTTGAAGTATGGTCCGACCCCCAATTCCATCCGAAGTTACCTGAGATTACTTGATGTCATCCAGCGTTGCTATACAGGGTGTTGCATTCTTACATCGTGGCATGACCGGACGTTTTTAAGAGTGTGTTGCACCTGGTGTTAGTAACACCAGATGATATTTCTCGATGCGTGCTGCCATCATGACGCCCCCACAAGTATGGTTTGCAGGACGTGACATACACGCCCTGTGATATCGATCATGTTTCGATAAGATGTCATGGTTTCTCTCGGCGCTAACACTGCTTTGACCGCGTGTTTTAATAGCATCGGGTGCAACAAACCAGAATAGCCGTAATGCAACGCACACCCACCTTGCCACGCAGCCACCCAGTGCTAAATTGTCTATACTGCTATGCTAGGGGAGGGGTGGCGTGCCCATACCGCGTTACCCCTGCCGTGGTTTAGAAAACAGTTGGTGTGCCAAGCGCACGCTGACGGTGGGCGTGTTCGGGCAGAGTGTGGTGTGCCTACTCCGATCCGGATTCCGCCGGCCTGGCAGCGGTCGGTCACGCGCAAGCGCCGCGCCACGCCAGGGCCCTTCATTCCCTTCATCGTCGGCGGGAAGGACGCCGAGATCGGCAAGTGGCCCTGGATCGTGAGTACCTGCGGGCGGTGTGGGCTCACACCGCAGGGGTCTGGTCTTCCAGTGCCGCCTGGCAGCGTCACTGACCTCGTTTGGCTTTGTTAGGTACGCCAAGTAGGCGCTATGTAACTTGCTACACAATTTGCTATATCTTTATTCGGCTGATGCAACTTTTAGGCGGTGCTGCTTTGTTTTTAAGCGAACGATAGAACTGCTGCCCAGTGTCTTAAACTCCCTTCGAATCTGAAGCCACGAATTGGTGCATTCAAATTAATGGTGAAATGGCGAAATCATTGGCGCATTTTTAGTCGGAGCTCATCACGTGCGTGATATCCCCCACCGGCTGGGATTCTGCTCAAGGAAGATGCCTCAGCTTCTCTGCTGGGGGCGAGTTCGAACGCTGTTGCTCTGGCCGGCAGGCGCTGCTGGGCACACGACAGGACGGTGGCAAGCCGTTCTGGTTCTGCGGCGGCGCCCTGATCGACAGCCAGTACATACTGACGGCGGCGCACTGTCTCCGGCCGCGATCTTTCGACCAGTGAGTGACGTCACACACTGCTGGTGACGTCACCCTCAGCCCACACAGGGCTCTCGCAGCCATCGGCTGCTCATTTGGGCCAAGGGTGGCGTCTTAAAGGTGGGAGGCGCGATGTGGTTTACACAATAAGGCTTGATAGGAGTGGCGTTGCGTCACGTTATAGTGCATTATCCTTCCGCCGGAGGTTTCATCACCGTGCAGGATACCATTCCGTTCAGAGAACTGGTAAGCGTCAGCTGACGTTTGCGGATGTCGAGTCCGGTTGGCGGATCCGTCACCCGACTAGAAGCTACCTTCTCAGGCTGCGATGATTCGCCTCCGACCCCAAGGAAATCCCGAGGAAATCCCGAGCAGCCATCGAGCTTTTACTTCGGAAAGAGCGGTGCGTGCTGCGCCGAGCGTCACCGGTGTCCGCATGTCGTGAGGCGCTGCTCACTGCGACGGCTCTGACCGCTGCCAGGAGCAAGCTGGTGGTGCGCCTAGGCGAGTACGACACCACCGACGACAACGACGGCGCCAACCCGCAGGACTTCACCGTGGAGCGGGTCACCAATCATGCCAACTTCAAGGTCAGCCTGCCCCCCCCCCCCCCGGGTGTCAAAGCGCCTCAGCGATGGCTGACCCGTGAAGAGCGCGATGACGTCATGGGTGACACGATACCACCCTCGGGCCGAACGCCACAACGCACTTCAAACGTTAGTGCTCGCGAGCATAGCCTCGCCCAAGTTACAGGGTGCTTCGAGCCTTGCACAGGATGGCCGCGCGCCGACAGCTGTGGCGATGTGGTGCTGACGACGCCTGTCCGTGCAGTTCCCGCAGCTGCACGACGACATCGCGCTGGTGAAGCTCTCCAGTCCGGTGCCGTACAGTGACCTGATCAAGCCGATTTGCCTGCCGCCCGGCTCCAGCGGCGACTACGCCGGCTCCCGGATAGACGTGGCTGGCTGGGGCTACACAGAGTTCGGTAAGGCCGGCCGCCGCCGCCCACGTGCGGCCGGCTGGGGCTTTAGAGGTTGCGGTGTGGCGACGGCGCCCCATGCACAGCATGTGGTCTCCTCAGGGGCTCCTTTCTGACGCCTCGTTTGAGGTTTAGCATCGACGCCTCCCTCTGGTACTGGATGGTTTGTATTCCACGGTGTCATTGAAACTGGGGAATTGACCACGAGGGAAGCATCACTTTGCGTGGATTTCGTCACCGAATTAATTGGGTGGTAAGGTGGAGCCGTCGAACTGCATACGTACATACATACTGTTGCATTAAAAGCTGTGATAGACGCCAGATTAATCCCTATTTGGCTCAGTCGGATAAGGATTTTTGCACGGTATGCGTATTCGAACCTCCTGGTTGTAATGGCAAATAAGTTAAAATTCTTCGTCTAAGAGCACGAGATGAACGATGCCATAACATGTCACGTCGTGCGACAGAGGCGCGCGCGCCGCGACGCCTATGCTCACCGTTTTTGTCGAGTGAAAGCGTCGACAGTGCAATGCTGTGTGCTAGATATACACCAGCGTCACCTGTCGGCCATCGACAGTCGTGCTGTGTGCTGGCTGTACGTCAGCGTCATCTGTCGGCCATCGACAGTCGTGCTGTGTGCTGGATGTACGTCAGCGTCACCTGTCAGGCCATCGACAGTCGTGCTGTGTGCCAGATGCACACCAGCGTCCTTTCGACTTTTCGTCCTTACGTCCACCAGCATCCTTCGTACACCAGCGTCCTTTCGCCCAGCGTTTTTCGACCTTTCGGCGGTCGACCCTGACGTACTCTGCGTCTCCCCGAATCCAGCCTTGGCCAGTCGCCAAAGTGTTCCTTCCGTTCCGGCAGGTGGCGATGCCAGCAACGTGCTGCAGGAGGTTAGCCTGCCTGTGGTGGGCATCAACGAGTGCCAGTCCAAGTACGAGTCGGCGTCGAGCTTCCAGACACAGTTCCCAGGCGGCTTCGGCGACACCAAGCTGTGTGCCGCCGAGAAGGACGGCGGCAAGGACGCGTGCCAGGTCAGTGCAGGATCACGTCTGGTCACCTCAGGCCATCAGTTCAAGATCACGTCTGTTTAGTTCCGGTCGTCAGTTCAGGTTCACATTTGTTCACCTCTGGTCATCAGCTCAGGGTCACGTCCGTTCACCTCTGGCCATTAGTTCAGGGTCACGTCCGTTCACCTCTGGTCATCAGTGCACTGTCACGTCCGTTCACCTCTGGCCATTAGTTCAGGGTCACATCTGCTCACCTCTGGTCATCAGTACAGTGTCACATTCAGTCTTCTATGACTAGATGAGGAATATGTTCCCTGCCGAGCCGTTATAGATTGACGCATAGCCACTACGGCTAACTGACGTACATATGACCGGCCAGATCAGTGTATACTCACACTGTTCACCTCTGTCTAACTGGACTGACTGGTTCTAAGCCGCGTCTATGTTACAGCTGTAAGTCGCTTGAATGTCAGTCACCGCCTGTTAAATGGTAGCGTATTCTACACGACAGAGCAGATTCAACGCATAAGACTGTCATTGTAAGCATCTTCACACATCAGTGCACCATGCCCTGAAGCCAATCCTATATGTCGGGAATAACATACTTGTGGAAAAATTTCTGCGTAACATCTTTTTGAAAAACATAGCATACAATTCGACGCATCACAAGTTACATTGTCGATCTCCATAAAATAACACTGACCATGGCTTACTTCTGCCACCTATATACCATGTGGAAAGTGTGTGTTTCTGCTGTCGTCCGCAGGGCGACTCTGGCGGACCGATGGTGCTTACGGGTGCCGACGGCAAGTATCAGCTGATTGGCGTCGTGTCGGCCGGAGTGGGCTGCGGCACTCCCGGCTTCCCCGGAGTGTACACTCGCGTCAGTGCCTATCTGGACTGGATACAGCAGAACAAGTTCTGATGCGTCTTTGAAGACACAGAGACGTCCGACAAAGCGTGCCTTCAGGTCCCAACTATGAGCCTGTTCATCGTGATTCGATATTGTCTATATGAAAATTGTAGCAAACCCTTAGACGCGCGGAGTGCCTTGAGAAGAAACCATTCCAGGCGAAAAAGGTGAAGACGGTCAGCTGCATTGTTACCGCAGCTGTTTACATCAGTACTATTTTGAACAATTTCTCACTAACTGTTGCTATAAAGCTGCCCATAATTCGCATATACCTGATGCACACGGGCATGGTTAGAATTGATGCAGTGGATTGTCCGTCTCTAGATCAAGACGATTAAAGCGGTCCGTCTGCTCTAGCAATGTGCGTGAGTGAGGAAATATTTTGGGCTGATGACGTTGAGTTAGTGATCCTTGTTGAAGCGATCTTTAAAAAGGGAAGACATGCTGACCAGCTTGTCACACTTGGTGCCTTCTCTCAATGCCAGTGCTGAGCGAGTCCACCCAGCTATGGGAGCGGTGAGCATTGATCGTCGCAATTCGTTCCACACTTTCTCGAAGAGCCAGACGAGAACCGTGGAGCTAAGTGAGTGTGCCGTTTTTTCTCAGCCTAAACCTTTTACAGCACTCGTGACATTTTTATTTTGGCTGACAATATTTGGATCAGTGGCGTTGATCTTGAACCGGACTGCAATAAACCTTTTACTTGAAAGTGTATGAAATACACGTGTTTTCAAGAGAACAGGCGCGAACCAAACATTTATGATGCTTAGCAACGCCATTGTTTCTTTCTTTAAAGGAACAACATAATGGAGCAATGCAAAACGATGAAGCTCCTATGATGCTGATTACGTCACATCCTAATGAAAGCTGGCTGCTGCGAGGCAGACATGGGAGTCTGCGTCCCAAAATGCCGCTCATGACGCCTCGTCGAGCGCTGTCGATCGACATTAACCGAGAGGGCTGAATGACGCTAGATGGCACGTGTTGCGTGACGCTTTTAGGATCCGTGCGAACTATTTGGCTAACATGTCGGCAGGAGCATATTTGACGAACTAGCTGCATTTTTGTCTGCAGAGGCGAGCTCAGGGACCTCGCAGCCAGCTTTCCCCGAATTTTTTGGTTCAAAAGCAATTCCTAGCAAAGATCTGGTAAAAATGTTAACAACGTTCCCCGACTTGCTAAAACATTTCTTGTCCCTTCTTAATTACCTGAACAGCATTTCCGCGACCAGGACTTGCACAAAAAAAAAACAAGCATGCAAAGAAGACCGATACCGTTGCACAGCTTCTACGCAGACAATGTTCTGACCCCGTTTGGAGCCATGACCACCAGCCAAAAATGCGAAAAAGTGTCTGAAGTAAGCAACGAAATGCGGCAGAGTAAACACATGCTCGCACTAATAGAAAATGCTTTAAAATGTTTCATGACAGGATATCTCCTAATAATTGCGTCACTTGAAAGCTGAGCAAACTCTCACCACACTTGTGAATGCCTAATGCCAGCTCCTCAGATATTCATAGACTAGAAAAGTGCTCAAAAATTCCATCCTGTACCATTTGCAAAGATCTGTTGAACTGTATGTCAAAGATCTGTTCCACAGGCGTGTGGAATGGTGTCCGATGATATGTGTTTAACCGCGACTGTTTGGATAGGGTGGGGCCCGCCACCGCTGGCTCCCGAAATCCCTTTATTCAATCAATGCGCTTTCAATAAATCTCAGACGTCTACCCATCCAACACATGGCAATGCTCCTAATTGTGCGCCCTCTGGATTGGAATTCGACCAATCTGCATCGCTGGCCCAGAAGCCGACCCAGATCCGCCTGATCCCTTCGAATCCTGGGCTTTCACGGAAGATTACGCCTTGATGTGCGCGCCGCTGGTGTGTCTCCGTCGACTGCTTCCGTTGTACGCCAGCTGTCGTCGGCCGGCCGCAGCGCCGCGGCGCTGTGCGTAACTCTCGTGATGGCGGGGCTATGGATGAGCAGCCAGCCAAGCTGCTCCAGCCGTCTCAGCGTCACCAGTTGGCCGCTGACCGTCCGTCAGCAGTGGATCGGCGGCCGGGCAGGGTCGGTCCGTCCGTCAGCAGTGGATCGGCGGCCGGGCAGCGGCGGTCCGTCCGTCAGCAGTGGATCGGCGGCCGGGCAGGGTCGGTCCGTCCGTCAGCAGTGGATCCGCGGCCGGGCAGCGCCGGTCCGTCTGTCAACAGCGGATCCGCGGCCGGGCAGCGCCGGTCCGTCCGTCAGCAGCGGATCTGCGGCCGGGCAGCGCTGGTCCGTCCGTGAGCACCGGATCCGCGGCCGAGCAGCGCCGGTCCGTCCGTCAGCAGCGGATCCGCGGCCGGGCAGCGCCGGTCCGTCCGTCAGCAGCGGATCTGCGGCCGGGCAGCGCCGGTCCGTCCGTCAGCAGTGGATCCACGGCCGGGCGGCGCCGGTCCGTCTATCAATAGCGGATCCGTGGCCGGGCAGCGCCGGTCCGTCCGTGAGCACCGGATCCGCGGCCGGGCAGCGCCGGTCCGTCCGTCAGCAGCGGATCCGCGGCCGGGCAGCACCGGTCCGTCTGTCAACAGCGGATCCGCGGCCGGGCAGCGCCGGTCCGTCCGTCAGCAGCGGATCCGCGGCCGGGCAGCGCCGGCCCGTCCGTCAGCAGAGGATCTGTGGCCGGGCAGCGCCGGTCGGCGCCGCAGCGGCCTGCTGCGGTGGGCCGGGGCTCGCTGGCGGCGCAGCGACCGTGCTGGCCGCCCTGGAGCGGGCCCGCCGCCGCCGCCTAATGGAAGTCGACACGCGGACAGCGCAGGGCTGGACTGGCGCCGAGCGCTGCCCAACTGGCGCCGAGCGCTGCTCAACTGACGCCGAGCGCTGCCCAACTGGTGCCGAGCGATGCTCAACTGATGCCAAGCGCTACCCAACTGGTGCCGGACCTCTAGCAGCTTCTGATGCCAAACTATCGGTCCCGTGTGAGTAAGCCTGCGCCAACCACAGTAATCTACGAGGCAGTCCCACGCACCCGCAGTAATATTTGAGTAAACCTTATCCATTTGCACTAGCGTTTCACGTTGAAGACAGCCTCATCCACCCACAGTCTATGTTGGAAACAGCTTTAGCCACCCACAGCAGACCTTGATCCGGTCTTATTCAACGACAATCACGTTTGAAGCCCCTTTTCTAGTCTTATCAACCCACAGTGATGCTCAAGACAGTCCTACCCAGCACAGTCATGCCTCAGGCGTCCGAGCCATCGATAATGACGCCCAAGACAGTCCCACACACCGACAGTATTGCCCATCTTCGAGACAGCTCTACCCACCCACAGTACTGCCCATCTCTGAAACAGTCCTATCCACACACAGGACTGCCCGTCTCCGGGACAGTCCTACCTGCCCACAGTACTGCCCGTCTCCGGGACAGTCCTACCTGCCCACAGTACTGCCAGTCTCCGGGACAGTCCTACCTGCCCACAGTACTGCCCGTCTCCGGGACAGTCCTACCTACCCACAGTACTGCCCGTCTCCGGGACAGTCCTACCTGCCCACAGTACTGCCCGTCTCCGGGACAGTCCTACCTACCCACAGTACTGCCCGTCTCCGGGACAGTCCTACCTACCCACAGTACTGCCCGTCTCCGGGACAGTCCTACCTGCCCACAGTACTGCCCGTCTCCGGGACAGTCCTACCTGCCCACAGTACTGCCCGTCTCCGGGACAGTCCTACCTGCCCACAGTACTGCCCGTCTCCGGGACAGTCCTACCTTCCCACAGTACTGCCCGTCTCCGGGACAGTCCTACCTGCCCACAGTACTGCCCGTCTCCGGGACAGTCAGATAGATAGACAGAGAGATGGGTGTACTTACAGTCTCGTATGTGCCAGCATTACATACCATGGTAACTCTTTTCAGAGTTGGTGTCTTGAGCCACGGTTTGGAACTCAAACCCCAGTCCCCCAAATGAACAGACACCTACGCCGCTGCCCGTAAGAGAAGACCAGCCACACTCGCCTGGACCAGCCCGACACTTTCACGGTACCGTCTGAGGCTCATCCCGCCTATAGCCGCCATACCGCCGGGGTCTGCCCCGCCCGCCCGTGGTCAAACCTCCGCTTGACCGACCAGCGGCATGGCTTAGTTGGCCTCAGCCTGGTCATCGCTGGGCCCCCCTGCACCCGGCGTTCGACGGTAGTCACCGGCGCGAGGTCGCTCCGCTGTGGCGTGTGCTGAGCACGCAGCCGCAGCGGCTCGAGCCCCGCGGCTGACGAGAGAGGGCCGTACCTTGGCCTCCCTCCGTTGGGGATTAGGAGGCATGCAAGCTATTACGGTAATGCGGTGGGGAGGTGGCCGAGAAACTCCTGACCGCGGCTGGTCGGCATTCGTTGATCGTGCCAGCGGCGCACCTGCTGGGCGCGCAGAGGATTCTGATGCTGCGAGCCAGGTGGGGCCTCGCATGCGGGACGTGGATGCATGCGGGCTACATCGCGTGTCATAGCTTTCTTTCAGATGCAGACAATGGCACATGACTAAGCCTGCGGTACAGGACTAATCTCTGCCATATTTATCCGTGATTTGTGCACGAGTATAGAAATGCTGACTTCAGTCTGACGACATGTCGGCGGATCAGTCATGTAACCGGGGGCGCGGACACAGAACCGCTTGAGGGCGTATTACAGCCGCATTTTCTTTTTTATCTCATGCGGCTCCCAACTGAAAGTGAAAATTGGCACGATACCTTTACCAAGCCCCCCCCCCCCCCATCTCAAGGAAATCCTGGCAGGGCCTCTACATGTAGCGCCATGGCCGCGTGATGCCACTCAGCGAGAAGCATTCAGAAGGCACCAAAGCGTTCACAAAGCACGCCACGTGGTAGATCAGCGCGTGTTCGTCGCACCAGTTCAAGCCCTTTTAATCCGGAAAGCAAAAGATGGATACGAGAATCGCATGATGCTATCTTGCAGCTCAGATAAGATAAAAGACTCGCCCAGTTTCCATAAGATGAGCGCCGCTATCCAGGATACCTACGTAGTGAAGACCCTTCAACGCTCGGCTCGATATGAGGATCATTTGCTCCTTGGTGATACTTCAGCGCAGTCGGAACATCAGCAAGGACATCTCAACACCGCACAGTGAGGAGAGAGGAGCATCTCACCACTGCGCAGTGAGAACATAGGGAGCAGCATCTCACCACCGCACAGCGAGGACAATGAAGCGTCTCATCACTACACAGTGAGGACAGAGGGATGTCCACCACCACACAGTGAGGACAGTGAAGCGTCTCATCACTACACAGTGAGGACAAGGGACGTCCCACCACCACACAGTGAGGACAAAGAAGCGTTTCACCAACGCACAAGGAGAACAGTGGGGTGGTTCACCTCCACGGCGGCGAGAACATAGGAAGAAGGATCTCACCACTACGCAGCGTGGAAAGTGGGGCGTCCGACCACCGCACAGCGAGGACGGTGGGGCGTCTCGCCATCGCACAGCGAATGCCAATGAGTGGCAAAAATGTGTTCAATGCTACAGGGGACATACGATACACGCTCGTCTCTCCTTTTGCAAGGACGGATAGGGACTGCTGCACTCCCAGCTGGTTCGCGTCCAATAATTCCCAGTCCGCCTGTCACTTGTCATACAAACGAAGTAAACGCATGCATATTAGTGGTGGGCAATGACGTACAAAGCGCGTGATTGTTTTCGCTGATTCGTTTTGATGATGTGTCGGATAGCCCGAGGATGTGATCAAACCGCAAGGGCTGAGGAAGCCGCGACAAAAGCGGCGGCGATGACGAACGAAAAAGCCGCACTTTGTGAGGTGGAGCATGGCGTTAAATACACCACATGGCATAAGCCAACCGCTGGAATAAATGAGTTGGTCTCAGAGGTAAACAGATGTATAACATGGCAAAACTGATGAATGGTTGGCAAAGACGCAGGCGAGGGCGCCCCCCCCCCCCCCACCCATACTATTGTTCTTCTTGAAATCCCCTGTGTTTGTGTTTGCATGGCCACAATATATTGCAACGTGTGCTGTGGCATGCATTCGGCAGCGTTTCCGGATGTATGTGCCCGCTCTGGATTCACGCCCGTGATGGATCAGCGCTACGGTGCCAATTCGTGAAAGGCGAGGAGGAAGGGGGGGGGGGGGGGCTGCCCAGGATGACCAGGAAGCTCATCTCGGCGCATGCTCTACTGCATGTCCGAAGCGAGTCGCGCGCTCTTGCGCCAAATGGTATGAGCCGAGGGTTTGTTTGCGGTCAAAAGTTGGACGTTGTAGGACCCGATGCAATACACCGGGTGTTTTCAAAAATCCAAAATAGGCTGAACACGTAATACCACGCTTGTTTTTAGTGACAGCGATAGCTTCCAGGCCTCGGCCAAAAGGCTCGCAGCCGGTGACGTCCCAAACTCTCTCCAAGTCTCGTCACAATACGTGAGCCTGGATGTTGAAGGGTGTCGAGTGAGCGGCCTAATGAATTTTACGCCCAGCCAGGTATACAGCAAGCACATACCATCTCCTGACCGTTTAAAAGAGCGGTGTGTCGTCAACAAAGCCATCTCGTCCGCCCCGTAAGATGTTCGTGGGCCGTGGATGATATTCAGGGACGACAAATTTCGCAAGATTTTAAGGGTTTTGTGTACCGGCGGTATCCTCAGATGAATCCGAATGAAACAGGCAACTGGTTCAATGGCTTTGGGACCATGCAATTAACATCGATATCAAGGCACCTGGTGCGATGACAAAATGCATGTAAAATTCCCAGAGGGATGGGAAAGTAGATGTTATTAGTCACGCCCACGCTCCAGCCGGATTAGGGGAAGCTGAAGCTGACCCTCCGGCTTACGACCAACCGAAAAACGGGACCAAAAAACACAGTCAGCTGCATAAAGCAAAGTCACGAACGTTAGCGACAAACCGCTGACACCACTGACGGAAATCGGGCCGGCCGTCTCGGCACAGTACACCCGCCAGCTGGCACAAATACACGCCATTCTGAACATCTAAATATGAACTTGTACGATCGGCCGGCATGCATCACGCATCATTCGCTGCCATACTATGGCCGTCGTGTCTACATCCTCCCTTGTAGATCTTAGATGCGAGGTGATTGATGAACGATACATTGCTTGGAACGTTGAGGTCTGGTTCCCTTTTCCTTGTTTAAGATGGCAAACATTTTCAGTATAGCTGTCATGTGTCTCGATTTTCTATTTATGACTTGCGTCCGTCTTCTAATCGGCCCTTATGCTCATGTCTAATCGAGAGATCTATTTCTGTTTTGCATGTGTCGTGGGTTTACCGTCTTTTGTAGTAAACTGAAGACCGATGATTGTAATTGTGATTCTGTTCGTCCTCGTTAACATAGCAAATGTCATATCACCAACAGCATCTGCCTTATCACCGCCAGTCTTCTTATTCACAACCATTTCATGTTCACACACGTCCCAAAGATGACGGACCCACATTCCCACCTGAACAGCCCGCCTGTGACAGCCTGCGAAGGGCACGTTTGCTTCTGCCGCACCGCCACCTCTGCGAGCCGCACGGCCCCGCGCGTGTGAGCGGCGCGCGTCCCATCCTCCCCGACCAGCCATCACGGCCACCGTCCGTTAGGTGGAGGGGGGTGGAGGGGCACGGGCGATAGGCGTTGCACGGCCAAAGCTGTGCTGGCAAGGCGGGGCAATAAAACAGGCGGATATTTGGTGAGTGACTCAATAGGCATGCGGATAGTAATTGTGGTGGAGGTGGATTGTTGCCTTCGACAGGATTTTCGGCAGATGTCGTTCAAATCCCGCATTACATGCGGGTGCAAGCCATTTAAATGGGTTGAAACGAGGCTCGCGAGTGTCAGGGATGGCAAGATGCACGATCGAACAGAGCCGCTCAGTTCTGTTCGGCGCTGAAAACCTGACGCCTAAGGGTAACGTCCTTTAGAAGATAATCACTCGCAAGACCCTTTCACACAGGTCAATGTTT